TTACCATGTGGGGGAAAAAATGCTTACCGAGGCATGAATACTGTATCAGGATAGTTTGGAAAGAAGCTAACAGATAATTTTGGGCTCTGGGCTCAAAGGATGTGAAGAAGTCTAGGGAGAGGATTGCTATGAAAAGGCACCCAGACTTCCTTTATCCTGCTCTCGTGTATTTTGGACTCTTCCCCTACCATGTGGGGAAAAATATGCTTACCAAGTCATGAAAATTGCATTAATACGCCACATTACTTTTACATTTCCGGGAATAATAAATTAACAAGCCACATCTAGCGAAACAATATTTTTTGCCTAATATGTGCTGAAAATATGCTTACGAAATAATACCTTCCCCGATATTTGAAGAGGCTATATCTTCAGTGTTTACACATTGTTTTAGTATGGTCATAGAGAAGATATTGAGGAGGGGCTTTATCAGAGGTGTAATACACTTTTATTTCCTTTCTATCGAGATTTTGGGACTTTTCGCTTACCACGTTGAGGAAAGTTTGCTTACCAAGCCATGCAAATTACATTAATACCCCATTATTCTCTTCATAGTGTTTTTTGTACATATCCTTGAAAAATATTCTTTAAAAAATCCACGTTTCTTCAACTGATGGTCCTTGAAAAAATATTCTTTAAAAAATCCACGTTTCTTCAACTGATGGTCCTTGAAAAAATATTCTTTAAAAAATCCACGTTTCTTCAACTGATGGTCCTTGAAAAAATATTCTTTAAAAAATCCACGTTTCTTCAACTGATGGTCCTTGAAAAAATATTCTTTAAAAAATCCACGTTTCTTCAACTGATGGTCCTTGAAAAAATATTCTTTAAAAAATCCACGTTTCTTCAACTGATGGTCCTTGAAAAAATATTCTTTAAAAAATCCACGTTTCTTCAACTGATGGTCCTTGAAAAAATATTCTTTAAAAAATCCACGTTTCTTCAACTGATGGTCCTTGAAAAAATATTCTTTAAAAAATCCACGTTTCTTCAACTGATGGTCCTTGAAAAAATATTCTTTAAAAAATCCACGTTTCTTCAACTGATGGTCCTTGAAAAAATATTCTTTAAAAAATCCACGTTTCTTCAACTGATGGTCCTTGAAAAAATATTCTTTAAAAAATCCACGTTTCTTCAACTGATGGTCCTTGAAAAAATATTCTTTAAAAAATCCACGTTTCTTCAACTGATGGTCCTTGAAAAAATATTCTTTAAAAAATCCACGTTTCTTCAACTGATGGTCCTTGAAAAAATATTCTTTAAAAAATCCACGTTTCTTCAACTGATGGTCCTTGAAAAAATATTCTTTAAAAAATCCACGTTTCTTCAACTGATGGTCCTTGAAAAAATATTCTTTAAAAAATCCACGTTTCTTCAACTGATGGTCCTTGAAAAAATATTCTTTAAAAAATCCACGTTTCTTCAACTGATGGTCCTTGAAAAAATATTCTTTAAAAAATCCACGTTTCTTCAACTGATGGTCCTTGAAAAAATATTCTTTAAAAAATCCACGTTTCTTCAACTGATGATCCTTGAAAAAATATTCTTTAAAAAATCCACGTTTCTTCAACTGATGGTCCTTGAAAAAATATTCTTTAAAAAATCCACGTTTCTTCAACTGATGGTCCTTGAAAAAATATTCTTTAAAGAATCAAAGTTTCATCAACTGATGGTCCTTTAAAAAAATTCCACGAATCTTAAACTGAAGGTCCTTGAAACAATTTTCTTTAAAAAATCCAGGAAGGTCCTTGAAACAATTTTCTTTAAAAAATCCATGAATGGTATTTTAGAGATTAAAATCTGGCGCCCAATTATGAGTCTTTTAATGGGTGACATCTGGCGCCCAAATGCGAGTCTTTTCAGGGGAGACATCTATCGCCCAATCGTGAGTATTTCACTGGTCTCCAGTTATGAGTTTTTTCATGGGAGACATTTGGCGCAATCGAGGGTCTTTTAGAGATTAAAATCTGGCGCCCAATCGTGGATATTTTAATAGGCGACATCTGGCGTCCAAATGTGAGTCTTTTTAATGGGTGACATCTGGCTCACAATGTGAGATTTTTATTCAGCGATATCTGGCGCCCAATTATGAGTCATTTACTGGGCTATATCTGATACCCAGATATTGGTCTTTTCATGAAAGACATCTGGGGCAATCGAGGGTATTTCAGAGAATAAAATCTGGCACACAAATGTGAGTCTTTTCATGGGAGACATCTGGCGCCCAATGGTGAGACTTTTAATAAGCGACATCTGGTACCCAGTTATGAGTGTTGGCAAGGGAGACCTCTGGCACAATCGAGCGTCTTTTAGAGAATGAAAAATCTGGCGCCCAATTGTGGATGTTTTAATAGGCGACATCTGGTGCCCAAATGTTAGTCTCTTCATGGGAGACATCTGAAGACCAAGTCTTTAATACCTGATTTCCAGTTATGAGTCTTTTCAGGGGAGACATTTGGCGCTTAAAGTACATTACCTTCTTTTGTGCTTACTCCAGTACATAGGAGTGCTTACTTCTGGAATATACAGCGGACATGTCATGGTATTAACAAAAATGTCAGATTTTCTACAAATCCGTGTCCGCTTGCAATCTCTATCAGCTTTTCTAACTCCTTCCCTAAAAACCTGAGTCTGCTTACCACTGCCTGCAATTGTGCTTACGGAAGCCCTTACAACTGCTTACTTTCAATAATTTTTTAAGCATTCGTATATACTTCTTATAGATCTGAAACGGCTTGCTATTATGTATAGGTTTTTACTTTAATTGCAGTGTTTTACAATTCCATATTTTTTTTTACAAATCCAAGTCGAAGTCTCACCATTGCCTCCTTTTGTGCTTACCGAAGTGCTTTCGAATGCTTACTTTCCAAAAAAAATATTTTTTTTTCCTGTCGACAAATAAAATTTAGATTTATTTAAGTTTCTCAACAAATCAGATCATACTTCCAGCTCTCTAAATACCTTACCAAACCCCTTACAATCTGCTTACCTGAAACAATTATTCATTGCACCAAGAGGCAAAGACGACATACCACCAGTATTGTGTGAAATACAAAATATTTCATCTTTTTTTTTAATTATTACTGCTGACACATACCTTACCCAACCCCTTACAAACTGCTTATCTACAATATTTCTTCATTTTATCAGAAAATTAAGACTTTTTATCAAGTGTATTGTGTGAAATATAACATATTTCATAAAATTGTCTGCAGCAACACACCTTACCGAACCCCTTACAAACTGCTTACATACCCTAATTTATCACTGTATCAAAAAGTTAAGAATTTTTACCAAGAATATTGTGTGAAATACAAAATATTTCATCTGTCTTTTTTTTAATCATACCTTCTACCACACACCTTACCGAACCCCTTACCAACTGCTTCTTTGCAATATCTCTTAATTGTATCAAGAAGAAAATGCTACATACCAATAACACTATGTGAAATAAAAACTATTTCACTTTTCTCATTATGCCTAATACCGAATACCTTACCAAACCCATTACATACTGCTTCTCTGCAATAGTTTGTAATGTATCAATTAGTCAAGATTTTATATTAAGAAATACTACATCTTTCGTCTTTTTTTAGAATTATACCTTCTACCACACACCTTACTGAACCCCTTACAAACTGCTTCTCTGCAATATTACTTTAATATATTAAAAAGTAAAGACCAAATACCAACAGATTTGTGTCGAATACAATCTTTATCACTTTTCTCATTATGCCTACTGCCACACACCTTACCAAAGCCCTTACAAACCGCTTCCTTGCAATAATTTTTCATTCTATCAATAAGTTATGATTACATACCAAGAAATTTGGGGCATATACAATCTATTTCATAATATTGTATGCTGCAAAACACCTTACCCAACCCCTTACAAACTGCTTACATGCCCTAATTTATCACTGTATCAAGAAGTTAAGACTTTATACCAAGAGTATTGTGTAAAATACAACCTATTTCATCTGATTTTTGAATTATAACTTCTACCACACACCTTACTGAACCCCTTACCAACTGCTTCTCTGCAATATTAAGACTTAATGCTAGGAATATTTTGTGAAATACAATTTATTCGAAGTTTCTAATTATGTCGGCGGCCACACACCTTACCAAATCCCTTACCAACTGCTTACCTTCAATTGTTTTTCATTGTATCTTATACCTAAGACTACACAGCCATAGTATTGTATGAACTAAACTTATTTCATATATTTTTCTTTTAATTATTCCTGCCCGCCACACAATTAGCTTACCTGCAAAGAAAAGAAGATGCAAAAAAAACTTGATTAATCAACTATTCAGTGGTGGAAGTAGCAAAAGTAACTTTTGCTGAATAATATTATTTATTTCTTATGCATGTAATTATTCGTTTTTTTCCTTCTTTCCCTACTTCGCCCTATTTTCATTTTAATGAACACAATATCTGCCTTATTTATATCCTGCAATTCATTTATAGGACCGCAACCACAGCAGAAGTAAAACAAAAAGAGTAGAGAAATAGAACTGGGCCAAATGACAAACTAAGTAGACACAAATGACGGAAGTTGTAATATAATAATAATGATAATGATGATGAAGGCGAAGAAGGAAGGACGCAGAACGCAAATGAGAGGAGAGGTAAAATAAATTACAAATGCAGGGAAAAAAAGAGAGAAACTAGTCATTAGTATTGTAGCTGGGAGCTGCAGAAAAACAAAAGCTTTTATCGTGGTTTGGTTTGGTTTTTTGTTTTTGCCTGCCTCATTACTGGTCCTGGCTCCAATTTCAAAGATGATTTTAGGGTCTCTGTGTATTTTTGTGCCCTTATAATAATAATAAAACAATGTTGTATAGCTGGCCAGACGAATTCCAACCCGATAAAATTTTTTTTAGCATTTCCTGCGGCTTGCGGACTTCTTATCGTCAAAACTTTGCTTGGTATGCCTCATATTATGCCTGGATTTCGAATTCGAACCAAGAACATAAATTTGAAAAGAAATTTCAAATAAATTCAGTGTTACTCCAGACGCCGCCACAGCCACAACATGAGATTATTGGCCTTACTAATATCTTGTATGTGTTTCACATATTTTGTTCATGCCAGGAGCGAGCATGAGAATTTCCCTCAAGGAGATGGGGTAAATACAATTTTGGGTTTACTTCAAAAGGATGCCAAATTATGGAAGGAACTTTTCGAGAAAATTGATGCAATGTCCAGTCAGATTGAGAGGTTATCCTGTCATGTGGAACTAACTCGAAGGTAGAGAAACGATTTTTTTTCTAAATAATTCGATTGATATTCGATTTTTTATCTATATTACAGTATCGAAGAACTACGAAATCAATGGTAAGTGATTTTAATGAAAGACGAAGTTGATTTGACACTGTAACTAGACAGAATTTCTATACTTGGACTGAAATAAGCTCGTCAGGGTTCAAGGGTTATTTTGAGACCGTTTTTACTTATTCTACGTATACTATACTAGTTGAACAAACGTGGATTTTTTAAAGAATATTTTTTCAAGGACCATTAGTTGAACAAACGTGGATTTTTTAAAGAATATTTTTTCAAGGACCATTAGTTGAACAAACGTGGATTTTTTAAAGAATATTTTTTCAAGGACCATTAGTTGAACAAACGTGGATTTTTTAAAGAATATTTTTTCAAGGACCATTAGTTGAACAAACGTGGATTTTTTAAAGAATATTTTTTCAAGGACCATTAGTTGAACAAACGTGGATTTTTTAAAGAATATTTTTTCAAGGACCATTAGTTGAACAAACGTGGATTTTTTAAAGAATATTTTTTCAAGGACCATTAGTTGAACAAACGTGGATTTTTTAAAGAATATTTTTTCAAGGACCATTAGTTGAACAAACGTGGATTTTTTAAAGAATATTTTTTCAAGGACCATTAGTTGAACAAACGTGGATTTTTTAAAGAATATTTTTTCAAGGACCATTAGTTGAACAAACGTGGATTTTTTAAAGAATATTTTTTCAAGGACCATTAGTTGAACAAACGTGGATTTTTTAAAGAATATTTTTTCAAGGACCATTAGTTGAACAAACGTGGATTTTTTAAAGAATATTTTTTCAAGGACCATTAGTTGAACAAACGTGGATTTTTTAAAGAATATTTTTTCAAGGACCATTAGTTGAACAAACGTGGATTTTTTAAAGAATATTTTTTCAAGGACCATTAGTTGAACAAACGTGGATTTTTTAAAGAATATTTTTTCAAGGACCATTAGTTGAACAAACGTGGATTTTTTAAAGAATATTTTTTCAAGGACCATTAGTTGAACAAACGTGGATTTTTTAAAGAATATTTTTTCAAGGACCATTAGTTGAACAAACGTGGATTTTTTAAAGAATATTTTTCAAGGACCATTAGTTGAACAAACGTGGATTTTTTAAAGAATATTTTTTCAAGGACCATTAGTTGAACAAACGTGGATTTTTTAAAGAATATTTTTTCAAGGACCATTAGTTGAACAAACGTGGATTTTTTAAAGAATATTTTTTCAAGGACCATTAGTTGAACAAACGTGGATTTTTTAAAGAATATTTTTTTCAAGGACCATTAGTTGAACAAACGTGGATTTTTTAAAGAATATTTTTTCAAGGACCATTAGTTGAACAAACGTGGATTTTTTAAAGAATTTTTTTCAAGGACCATTAGTTGAACAAACGTGGATTTTTTAAAGAATTTTTTTCAAGACCATTAGTTGAACAAACGTGGATTTTTTAAAGAATTTTTTTTCAAGGACCATTAGTTGAACAAACGTGGATTTTTTAAAGAATATTTTTTCAAGGACCATTAGTTGAACAAACGTGGATTTTTTAAAAAATATTTTTTCAAGGACCATTAGTTGAACAAACGTGGATTTTTTAAAAAATATTTTTTCAAGGACCATTAGTTGAACAAACGTGGATTTTTTAAAGAAAACTATGATCCTAATCGTCTTCTGTCCAGAATTGCAAATGGTTCTTCAACACGAGACCTGGATAAGAACTCAGGCAGACTACCAGGTTATTCCAAGCTACGGTTGCAAGATACCTTAATAAGTTTTCAAGCAGACTACGAGGATATTCAAAGTTAGAGTTACAAGAGACCTTAGTAAGTACTCAAGCAGGCTACAAGGATATTCAAAGCTATGATCACAAGAGACCTTAATAAGTACTCAAACAGGGTACCAAGAATATTCAGAGCTACGGTTGCAAGAGACGCTGACAACCAGGATATTCAAAGTTTCGGTTACAAGACACCTTAATAAGTACTCATGCAGACTACAAGGATATTCAAAGTTACTGTTGCTTTTAGATTCGAAAGATATTCAAAGCTACAGTTGCGATAGACCTTAATAAGTACTCAAACAGACTACGAGGATATTCAAAGCTACGGTTACAAGATACCTTAATAACTACTCAAGCAGGCTACCAGGGTATTCAAAACTACGGTTACACGAAGCCTTAATAATTACTCGAACAGTATACCAGGATATTCAAAACTACGGTTGTAAGAGACCTTAATAAGTACTCTAGGAGACTCCGAGGATATTCAGAGCTACGGTTGCACGATACCTTAATAAGTACTTAGGCAGACTACGAGGATATTCAAAACTATGGTTGCAAGAGACCTTAATAAATACTCAAGCTGACTACGAGGATATTGTAGGAAACGGTTGCTAGAGACCTTAATAAGTATTCAAGCAGGCTACAAGGATATTCAACGCACAAGCTTTGTAATAAGTACTCTAGCAGATTCCGAGGATATTCAAAGCTACGGTTGCAAAAGATCTTAATAAGTACTCAGGCAGACTACAAGGAAATACAAAGCTACGGTTGCTTTTAGATTCGATGGATATTCACGGAAGCGGTTGCGATAGACATTAATAAGTACTCAAGCAGGATACCAGGATATTCAAAGTTACTGTTACAAGAGACCTTAGTAAGTACTCAAACAGGCTACCAGGATATTCAAAGTTAGGGTTCCAAGAGACCTTAATACGAACTTAAGGAGACTGTAAGGACATTCAAAGTTTCGGTTACAAGACACCTTAATAAGTACTCAAGTAGGCTACAAGGATATTCAAAGTTAGGGTTACAAGACACCTTAGTAAGTACTCAAGCAGGCTACCAGGATATTCAAAACTACGGTTGCACGAGACCTTAATAATTACACTAGCAGTATACCAGGATATTCAAAACTACGGTTGTAAGAGACCTTAATAAGTACTCAGGCAGACTACGAGGATATTCAGAGATACAGTTGCAAGAAACCTTAATAAGTACTCAAGCAGACTACCAGGATATTAAAAGCTTATTAAGTATTTAAGCGGACTACCAGGATATTCAAATCTACGTTTCCAAGAGACCTTAATAAGTAGTCAAGCAGGCTACGAGGATATTCAAAATTACTTTTGCACGAGATTCAAGGATAAGTTTGCAGAGATCTTAATAATTTGCTTCCAAATTTTTTTTCCAAGGCCCTCAATGGATTTATCGATCCGACGCAGATTTGTTTATACCACTTTTATTGTCAAAGGTTCTTACGACGAATCTTTGAGTTAATATAGATTTGTTCTCGTATATATTTTTTTTTTCAAAGTTCCTCGACGGATTTATTGATTTGACGCAGATTTGTTTATATCATTTTTATTCTCAAAGGCCCATGAAGTATCTTTGATTCAATTTAAATTCGATTTCATTTTTTTATTTTTTTTTTTTTGAAAAACGTCGACGGATTTTGGATTCGACGCAGATTTTGTTTTACCACTTTTATTCTCAAAGGTCTGTACGACGAATCTTTGATTCAATTTAAATTTGATTTCATATATATATATTTTTTTTTTGAAAATCGTCGACGGATTTTGGATTCGACGCAGATTTTGTTTTGCAACTTTTATTCTCAAAGGTCTGTACGACGAATCTTTGATTCAATATAGATTTGCTTTCATAATAATTTTTTTTTTTTTCAAAAGGAAAATTTCATCTCAAATTTTTTAGCACTGGCAATCAAGTAATGGATTCGACAACGGAACTTAATCAGCCACCTGTAGACATGTGGAGCAGCAGGTAAGTATTAAAAACAAAAACCAAAATATTTCAAAGCTTGACGACAAGAATTGTAATTCAAAATTTTTTGTTAGTCTTCGTTCATATTTGTAAAGATTTAGGTTCAAAGTTCATATGTTTTATGAACCAAAAACATAGTTTTTAATTTCATGTTCCTAGTTTGTAGTTTATTTATGCTCTCACTTTTGGTCACGACTTTGAAGAGAAAAATATATTTACTAAATTGCATTCGTGAGCGTGAAAGTAGCTTTTCTTTTTCGCCCTCTTTCTCCCTCTCCCTCTCTCCATACAGATTAGTTCATAATTTTCATACCTATATTCATATATTTTATGAACTGAAACATAGGGAGATTCGACATAAACTTGGTATTAAAAATATTAGAAATTTCAATACGATTATCATGTCGACCATGAAAACTAGGACATGTGCTGGTTGAATTCTAATGTTTCTCTTCGAATTTTCCAGCATTGCAAATCAGGAAATGGACTCAACAGCGAAACTCAATCAGACACCTATTGAACCATGGAGCGGCAGGTAAGTTTGATTATCATTGGAATATTCAAAATCATGAATACCTAATTCTCTTTTTTTTTTTTTGGTTAGTCCATCAACTGTAGAGGATTCACTTCGAGCATTGCGCGTTGAACTGAATACAAGGTAAGAGAGACGAAGTAAATCTCGCTCAAAATTCAAGTTGCACTCATAGAGAGTTTATTTTCAGTCAATCGGCAATATTAAATCATCTGCAGGAATATCGCAAGGAATTCCAAGAGAGGTGAGCAAAAGAAATGAATTCTAATTCCATTGGTTCTAAATTCATTCGCAAAAAATGCATAAATTCTATGAACATCATGTACGTAATTCGGGATCAAGTTTATTAATATTATGAACTTGTACCTAATGAATAATCAAGTACATTTATATTATGAACTTGTACATAATTCCGGGACAGGTTCATTTATTTCGGCAACAAGTTCATTTATATTATCAACTTGCATAAAATTCACAAACAAGTGCATTTATATTAGGAACTTGAGCATAAATCAGGAACCGGGCCAGTAATATTATGAACTTGTACAAAAAAATTCATGAACAAGTTCATTTATTTTATGAACATGTACATAACCATACACCCGCACGCTCATACATGTACTTAACTCATATCACGTTTCTATTAACCAAATATTTAACATTTCATGAACAGAAACCCAATTTCAATTTCCAATTACAGATTTCATATTTCACGCACTTCCACGAGAGCATGTTAGGTATATAATTTGCATATGGTCCTGGATGAAGTATTCTACTTTGCACTTTTCTTTGTTTTCAACACTCTCCCATTTGTTCATAATTTAACAAAACAAAGTTCATAGATTTTATGAACAGAAATATCTTTCCAACAACAGTTAACCGCTTTCCCGTTAGACATTATATCCATAATTGTCCGGTGATACCGCTGATGGTAGACTAAACTCCTTACTTCTTGTTACTTACGCTCTTCCATTAGTTCATAATTTGCCAAACAAAGTTCATACATTTTATGAACTAAAATCTAATTTCCGATTTCAAGTTCACATTTCCAAAAGTTTACCGCTCTCTCATTAGACATTATATCTACGGGATCATGTTAGGGAAGCATCATACTTTGCCCTTTTCTCCGCACTTCTTTTTTCAATGCTCTTCCATTAGTTTATAATTTGCCAAACAAAGTTCATACATTTTATGAACCGAAACATAATTTCCGATTTCAAGCTGGCATTTCCTGTTTTTGAGGATTTCTTTAATACTTCTATCGCTTTCCACTTCGATGCGATGAATCAAGAGAGCATGCTATAGAAACATATTTCCTATGGCCACGAATCTCACATTATTTCATAATCATGCCAAACAAAGTTCATAGATTTTATGAACTGAAACATAAGTACCGATTTTCTAATTTTATGAATTTATTTCCAACAACAGTTAACCACTATATCCACAAGAGCACGTTAGCGGAATATTTGTCCTGTGATGCCGCTGATGGAAGACTAAACTCCGCACTTCTCTTGTCTTACGCTCTCCCATTAGTTCATAATTTGCCAAACAAAGTTCATAGATTTTATGAACTGAAATCTAATTTCCGATTTCAAGTTCACATTTCCAAAAGTTTACCGCTGTCCCATTAGACACTATATCCACGGGATCATGTTAGGGAAGCATCATACTTTGCCCTTTTCTCCGCACTTCTCTTTTCAACGCTCTTCCATTAGTTCATAATTTAACAAAACAAAGTTCATATATTTTATGAACAGAAACATAAGTAGAGATTTTCTAATTTTATGAATTTATTTCCAACAACAGTTAACCACCATATCCACTAGATCACGTTAAGGAAATAATTGTCCTGTGATGCCGCTGATGGTAGACTAAACTCCTTACTTCTTGTTACTTACGCTCTTCCATTAGCTCATAATTTGCCAAACAAAGTTCATACATTTTATGAACTAAAATCTAATTTCCGATTTCAAGTTCACATTTTAAAAAGTTTACCGCTCTCCCATTAGACATTATATCTACGGGATCATGTTAGGGAAGCATCATACTTTGCCCTTTTCTTTGTTTTCAACACTCTCCCATTTGTTCATAATTTAACAAAACAAAGTTCATATATTTTATGAACAGAAACATAAGTAGAGATTTTCTAATTTTATGAACTTCTTTCCAACAACAGTTGACCACTATATCCACAAGAGCACGTTAAGGAAATAATTGTCCTGTGATGCCGCTGATGGTAGACTAAACTCCTTACTTCTTGTTACTTACGCTCTTCCATTAGTTCATAATTTGCCAAACAAAGTTCATACATTTTATGAACTGAAATCTAATTTCCGATTTCAAGTTCACATTTTAAAAAGTTTACCGCTCTCCCATTAGACATTATATCTACGGGATCATGTTAGGGAAGCATCATACTTTGCCCTTTTCTTTGTTTTCAACGCTCTCCCATTAGTTCATAATTTGCCAAACAAAGTTCATATATTTTATGAACAGAAACATAAGTAGAGATTTTCTAATTTTATGAATTTATTTCCAACAACAGTTAACCACTATATCCACTAGATCACGTTAAGGAAATAATTGTCCTGTGATGCCGCTGATGGTAGACTAAACTCCACACTTCTCTTTTCTTATGCTCTCCCATTAGTTCATAATTTGCCAAACAAAGTTCATACATTTTATGAACTGAAATCTAGTTTCCGATTTCAAGTTAGCATTTCCTGTTTTTAAGGATTTTTTTTTCGTACTTCTATCGCTCTCCCGTTTGATGCGATGATTCAAGAGAGCACATTAGTTCATAATCATGCCAAACAAAATTCATAGATTTTATGAACTGAAACATAATTGCACATTTCCAAAAGCTTACCGCTCTCCCATTAGTTCATAAAACAAAGTTCATACATTCTATGAACTGAAACATAAGTACCGATTATCTAATTTTATGCATTTATTTCCAACAGTTTACCGCTTTTCCGTTAGACACTCTCCCTTTAGTTCATAATTTGCCAAACAAAGTTCATACGTTTTATGAACTGAAACATACTTTCCAATTCCAGGTTGCCAAATTGGCCAAATTTCATGCACATTTTTCCTATTTGTTTTTCTTTCTACTTAGACACCATATCCAAGAGAGCATGCTTAGCAAATCATTTTCGTATGGGCGCGAATGGGTGGAAATATTTAGAAATACAGACGGGGAATTCAACTTCCTTAATCGTAAATGGCAGGACTACAAAAGCCCTGGTGGTGTAAACGGAGCTTATTTTATTGGCTTGGATCACCTCTATGTTCGTACCACCTATGAAGCAGCTCAGGAGTTATTGATAATTTTGACAGATTTGTTTGATCAAGTACGTTATGCCAAATATGATCTCTTTCAAATCGGCGATGAAGATCAACAGTATGCTATAGTTAAATTGGGCAACTATATGGGCAATGCTGGTGACGTATTGAGGCCACATCTGTATCGTAAATTCTCAACATATGATAGAGATAATGATGAAAATGATGAAATAAATTGTGCCAGAATTTATAGGACCGGCTGGTGGTTCTTTGGAAACTGTACAAGGTAAGTCGCTTCCATATGAATTGAAATTACGAATAATTCGTATGGTTTACAGTTTTCTAAAGCTGGGATTAATGCCAAATACCTATCGGGGTTCATGGAGTCGTGGCTTGAAATCTGTCGTAATGAAAATTAGATCAACACTTTTAGGTTAAGTTGTACCAAGTGTTTCTACAATAAAATGAAGAATTTTTAGCACCTCCATACGGTGAGGGAGAACAAGGATTTGTTTTTTTTTTTTGTTATTATTTTCATCACCTCTTTAAAAGGTATAAAATGTTAATTTTTTACCTATTGTCTCTATAGAGAATCGGAAGTTCGCCTCTTTTGATAAATGGAAGCCCGCTTGTGATTTTTTTAAAGGGTTTTTAGATCTTCCCCAAAGATCAGAAAACGTGGATTTTTTAGGACCTCCTCAAGGACCAGAAAACATGGATTTTTCATGACCTCCCTCGTCACTATAGACGGCCCCAAGGCCGACTCTATAGGCAACCGCAAGGCAAGGATTTTTTAAAGACCTTCTCAAGGGGCAGGAGACGTGGATTTTTAAAGAATTTTTAGGACCTCCGCAAAGGTCAACGAAAGGATTTTTAAAGATTTTTTAGGATTTCCGCAAAAGTAAACGAAACGTGGATTTCTAAAGAATTTTAATCTCCTCCCCAAGTAGCAGAAGACGTGGATTTTTAGGACCTCCTCAAGGATCAGAAAACGTGAATTTTTTAAAGAATTTTCAGGACATCCCCAAAGACCAGAAAACGTAGATTTTTAAAGAATTTTAAGAACCTCCCCAAGGACCAGAAAACGTGGATTTTTTAAAGAATTTTCAGAACCTCCCCAAGGACCAGAAAACGTGGATTTTTTAAAGAATTTTTAGGACATTTCCAAAGAATTTTTAGGATATCCCCAAAGACTAGAAAACGTGGATTTTTTAAAGAAGTTTTAGGATCTCCCCAAAGACCAGAAAATGTGGATTTTTTAAAGAATTTTTAGGATCTCCCCAAAGACCAGAAAACGTGGATTTATTAAAGAATTTTTAGGACATCCCCAAAGACCAGAAAACGTGGATTTTTTAAAGAATTTTCAGAACCTCCCCAAAGACCAGAAAACATGGATTTTTTAAAGAATTTTCAGGACCTCCCCAAAGACCAGAAAACGTGGATTTTTTAAAGAATTTTCAGGATCTTCCCAAAGACCAGAAAACGTGAATTTTTTAAAGAGTTTTCAGGATCTTTCCAAAGACCAGAAAACGTGGATTTTTTAAAGAATTTTCAGGATCTTCCCAAGACCAGAAAACGTGAATTTTTTAAAGAATTTTTCAGGATCTTCCCAAAGACCAGAAAACGTGGATTTTTTAAAGAATTTTCAGAACCTCCCCAAAGACCAGAAAATGTGGATTTTTCAAAGAATTTGTCAGGATTTCCTTTAAAATTTAAATGTTTTTCTTTCCCATTTTTAATTATTAAATTTACAAATCAGCTTAAGGCTCATTATGCCACTGCCGGTTTTAATGATGACGCTGGCGATGAGGACGATGCTGAGAAGATATATTTCATGACGCTCATTACACTGAGTAATAACCATAAAAAAAAAACTGAAAGTATTTAATTACAGCAAAGACAATTTCATTATACACAAACTGTATTATACTTCGTCAGCTTGAATTTATTTCAAGCAGGGCACTCGGAATACAGCTGCACACCCCCCCCCCCCCCTTTCAAAAAAAAAAAGAGATGAGAAGAAAATAATAAAGAAGACCACACTTGAGAAGCACAATGTCAGCACTCAGACAACCAATTTCGCCAATAAAAACGGCAACGGAACAATATTCATTGTTAAGTAAAAAAAAAAACATAAATAAATAAAAAGTCCTTGCTATCAATAATCCTTAAAATTTAAGTCAGCATAAAATATATGTATATGGCCATAATATGTTTTTAATGACAATTGTCCTGTTTTTTTTTATTTCTTTGGGTTTTTGTCTCCGCTTGTAAAACAAAATTTTATTGCACAGTGGGAGTATGATTACAACAATAAAAAAAAAAAACAAAACACAACAAACAGACAGCCAGGGAGGGGAGATGAGACGAGAGGTAGAAGATAAAAACAATAACGCCCACAACGATCCACTTGTTAGCCTTTTAATGTGTGTATCCTTTGAAATCCTCAGGGGGTGGATTCCATTGTGAGCCGAGAAAGAGAGGCTGCGCTGCGCCAGTATACAAATGAAATTTTATTATTATGATTATGATTACTATTATTATTTTATATATGTCTGAAATGCTATTATTATATTAAAAAAGAAAAAATACAAAACAAAAAAAGGACATAAAAATAAAAGCAAAAGAAAAAACACAATAACTGCAGAGAGTCCTTTTTTTGGGGAGACAACAATATAGGCGACCAGGCTTAAATACGATTCAATATTAAAATTGTATTAAGTTTAATTCGAAGATCCACGTTTGAAAGGACTCTTTGAGTGGATCAGGTATTATAAAAAAAATCGTTTTTTGGAAGGACACTCAAGTGGGTTTTTTTGTCCTTTAAAGTTATGTCTGAAATAGTCTTAAAATCCCTCAAAAATCCGTGTTCAGAAGAACTTGAATGATGGATTTAGATTGATTTTAAATCGGACTTTGGATCCCTTAAAAATCCCCGTCTGAATGGAAATTTTAAATGGACTTCGGATCCCTTAAAAATCCGCGTCTGAATGGAAATTTTAAATGGACTTCGGATCCCTTAAAAATCCGCGTCTGAATGGAATTTTTGAATGGACTTCGGATCCCTTAAAAATCCGCGTCTGAATGGAAATTTTAAATGGACTTCGGATTTCTGAAAAACTCACGTTTTAAGGCTTTTTTGAATGGACTTCAGATCCTTTGAAAATCCACGTTGGGAGAGACTTTTCGTATGGAGAAATTAGTTAAATTAAGTTTAATTCGAATTCATTTAAAGATCCACGTTTGAAAGGACTCTTTGAGTGGATCAGGTATTATAAAAAAAATGGCTTTTTGGAGTGTCCTTCCAAAAAGTGGATTTTTTGTCCTTTAAAGTTATGTCTGAAATAGTCTTAAAATCCCTCAAAAATCCGTGTTCAGAAGAACTTGAATGATGGATTTAGATTGATTTTAAATCGGACTTTGGATCCCTTAAAAATCCCCGTCTGAATGGAATTTTTGAATTGACTTCGGATCCCTTAAAAATCCACGTCTGAATGGTAATTTTAAATGGACTTCGGATCCCTTAAAAATCCGCGTCTGAGTGGAATTTTTGAATGGACTTCGGATCCCTTAAAAATCCGCGTCTGAATGGAAATTTTAAATGGACTTCGGGCTTCTGAAAAACTCACGTTTTAAAGCCTTTTTGAATGGACTTTAGATCCTTTTAAAATCTACATTTGGAAGGACTTTTCGTATGGAGTTCAGATCCATTAAAAATCCACGTTTGGAAGGATATTTCGTATGGGCTTCAGATCCTTTAAAAATCCACGTTGGGAGAGACTTTTCGTATGGAGTTCAGATCCATTAAAAATCCACGTTTGGAAGGATATTTCGTATGGGCTTCAGATCTTTTAAAAAGCAACGTTTGGAAGGACATTTCGTATGGGCTTCAGATCCTTTGAAAATCCACGTTGGGAGAGACTTTTCGTATGGAGTTCAGATCCATTAAAAATCCACGTTTGGAAGGATATTTCGTATGGGCTTCAGATCCTTTAAAAATCTACGTTGGGAGAGACTTTTCGTATGGAGTTCAGATCCATTAAAAATCCACGTTTGGAAGGATATTTCGTATGGGCTTCAGATCCTTTAAAAATCTACGTTGGGAGAGACTTTTCGTATGGAGTTCAGATCCATTAAAAATCCACGTTTGGAAGGCCTTTTGGATGGACTTGGGATCCTTTAAAAAGCAACGTTTGGGAGGACATTTCGTATGGACTTCAGAATAAAAAATCCACGTTTGGAAGGTTTTTCAGAATGGACCTGGAATCCTTTAAAAATCCACGTTTGGAAGGACTTCTTAAAAGGACTTGGGATCCTTTAAAAATTTACGTTTGGAAGAACTTCTTAAAAGGACTTGGGATCCTTTAAAAATCCTCTTTTGGAATCCCTTCCTAAAAGGACTTGGGATACTTGAAAAATCCACGTTTGGAAAGGCTTCTTGAATGGCCTACGGATCCTTTAAAAATCCACGTTTGGAAAGGCTTCTTGAATGGCCTACGGATCCTTTAAAAATCCACGTTTGGAAGGCCTTTTGGATGGACTTGGGATCCTTTAAAAATCCACGTTTGGAAGGCCTTTTGGATGGGCTTAGAATCCTTTAAAAATCCACGTTTGGAAGGCCTTTTGGATGGACTTGGGATCCTTTAAAAATCCAAGATTGGAAGGCCTTTTGGATGGACTTGGGATCCTTTAAAAATCCACGTTTGGAAGGCCTTTTGGATGGACTTGGGATCCTTCAAAAATCCACGTTTGAAAAACCTTTTGAAAGGACTTCAGATCCTTTAATATCCACCTTTGGAAGGACTTTTGGATGAACTTGGGATCCTTTAAAAATCCACGTTTGGAAAGGATTCTTCCATGGATTATGGATCCTTAAAAAATCCACGTTTGGAAAGGATTCTTCCATGGATTATGGATCCTTTAAAAATCCACGTTTGGAAAGGATTCTTCCATGGATTATGGATCCTTTAAAAATCCACGTTTGGAAAGGATTCTTCCATGGATTATGGATCCTTTAAAAATCCACGTTTGGAAAGGATTCTTCCATGGATTATGGATCCTTTAAAAATCCACGTTTGGAAAGGATTCTTCAATGGATTAAGGATCTTTTAAAAATCCACGTTTGGAAAGGATTCTTCAATGGATTAAGGATCCTTTAAAAATCCACGTTTGGAAAGGATTCTTCAATGGATTATGGATCCTTTAATCCTTTGGAAAGGATTCTTCAATGGATTAAGGATCCTTTAAAAATCCACGTTTGGAAAGGATTCTTCAATGGATTAAGGATCCTTTAAAAATTCACGTTTGCAAGATCTTCTTGAATTGACTCGGTATCCTTTAAAGTTTCACGTTTGGAAAGCCTTCTTCAATGGAGATCGGGTCCTTTAAAAATCCAAATTTGAAAGGTCTTTCTATAGACTTGGATTTGATTTTAAACGATTCTGGGTCCTTTCTGCTTAGGTTGGATATCAAAGAGGACTCTGACACAACCGAAAGTTTGTGTTTAAA